TTTTCAATTGCATTGAACTAACTATAATTAGGCTCCAAATCTTCCTTCTCAGGCTAATTACATCAAAGTCCATAATTTATCCACAATTATCATATTATGCTAAATTAGGTAGAAATTCGCTTAATTAGTAATTATTTGTCAAGTTTAATAGCACATATAAATATGTAAAACACACTTATCTTAGATATCCAACATTATGGTTACATTTGGAGCCTAGCTGAAGTTTGTCCATAGGCCGTGCACCACTTGAACTAAATCAATAAGCACTTATGTTATTGTTAAACCAGCCTATCGAGCAAATAAGAGTTACTTTTTTACCATTATAGCCTCTACATATTCGACAGATAGTTGTCTTGTGTTTCTTCGGGCATAAACACAACCAAGACAACTTCCGGAGTACCCTAAGCACTTGCTCTCTCTACTCCTGTAGTGATTATTTAGGCCAATCCATGCACATGTGTCCCTTCAATCTAGCAAGGTAGGTTAAATCAAATATCCACAAAGATTTGTTTTGGATAACAAAAAAATAAAATAAAATCTATAAAGATCCAAGCTTACATGCACAAGTCAACTATATTTTAGTAATTTTTTTTTTTTGTAGATATTGAAGTTTGACATTTTATGCCTAGTTTATGAGTAAAAAAATTATTAAGTTGTTTTCATAAAATGCAAGAAAGATTCATTAAGTTGCCTTGTCGACTTTTTCTTGTATCAGCTACTCATCACATCTACGATTATTTAATAATAAAATTTTATTTTAAATTTTAAATCTTGCAAAAGGGTGCACGTAAAAATTGTTAAAATACTTATTAATTGGATGTGTGGATATAAATATAAAAGTTTTTCAGATTGTAAATGTTGGCGCCAATAGAGTTGGACCAATTTAGGTAAGCTAATCAGTGGACGGGTTGGAGAAATGAAAGACGCACATTTGACTAAAGTATAAAATAAGTTACGCACTTAGTATATACATAATTTTTTGTACATTAAAATATTTATACACTCACATGGGGTGAGGTTTACTCGAATATTTTTATTCTAGTGAGATATTCGAGCGAGCCTCACCCCATGTGAGTGTAGGATATCTTGATGTACAAAAAATTATGTACACCAATCAAATCTCTATCCTTTAACACGATTTCTTTGAATAAATCCTTGAGAAAAAGATCGATAAAAAATAATCATGCACAGAAAGTATCTTCGAACAACGAGGATTCTTAGTCATCTATGTTTGTAAGAATGGAGAGAATTTCTAGAGCTATGAAACGGCAAATACGAGCCCCAGTTTGATCCCATTTTAAAACTCAATTTTTTATATTTTTTTATTATTATTTTTTGTCTAAAAATTATTTTCAACCACACATTCAATGAGACGTACAACTTTTCAACTACACATTTCATCAAATTTATTAAAATATAATAAAAATCTAATTTTTATTCAAACCAAATAGAAACATAAATTAATTTTCCTCTATTCTTTTAATCGCTTTTAATAAAACTTTCTCGAAAAAGTATTTTAATATTTTTTCAGTAACGTTAGTAGATGCCACGGGAATCACTCACGTCACTCTTCTGCAATTCATATTCAATATTTAGTATAGATGTTAGCAATAGTGTCGGCATATGTTTGGCTGAGCTGATGAATCACAATTAACCGATGACAAAAATACTTTATTTTGAAGTCCCGACACAAATACTTAACCACTAAAGTGTAGGTTACTTTCAAAAGTAAATAATGACTTAATCTTTATTTCTAATTCGACCACAACGAGGTTCATCATGAAATAAAAGAATAAGTTCTTGAATTTTTTATCTTTTTATAAGTGCGATAATCATGTCACGAAAAATTTCAAATTGTAACAATAATAAACGACGAAAGAAACATCTACTCAGACATTAAATGCGCACACGCATGTAAACAAATTTTAAATGAAAGGTTGCATACATAAATTGATTTCATAGTCTCATTGATGTCCAACTCTTAACATTTACGCTTATTAATGATGTTAGAAATCGAATTTCTTTGAATTATAATGAGAATGGTCCTATTATAGGTCACAAGTGATTACAAATGAAAAAAATATTTATTAATTTGATCCTTTCGGAGCAGAAATGGAAGAAGAAAAGGAAGTCACAAACGTTTTGCTAATAAAAACAGAAAAAAGAGATATCGACGTAATTATGATAATTTAGCCCTTATTTGAGCCACATTATTTGAATGAAAATGTATTTTTGAATAGTGTATTGATAGAGAATGTGTGGTTAAGAAATAAGAAAATATTTTGTATTTGTGTGTAATATTATTTTATTGAAAAATGTGTGGTTGAGATAATGTCAAAACACTGTTGAAGAATGCATTTTAAAAAAAAAAAAAAATGTGGCTCAAACAGAATAATATTATTACTTCGACATAGTCATGATAATTTAATAATATTATTACTTACTTCAATTTAAAATTCTTAGTTATTATTTATGATTATTTAATTATGAGTTATTTTTCCTTAATTTTTAATTTTAGGATTCTCCTTTTCATTTTATCACATTAGGACCACACCTTACGTCATATAATTTTTGTAAGTAAGCCCACTAGGCTTAGCCAAACCATTGTTTATTGGAAGAAGAAATTAAGTTCTGACTTTTTTTAAGTGTAATAATTATGTCATCAAACTTTAACAATATGTGAATGGTATCCAGGATTCCCTTCATGAAAAATATCTATTTAGATGTTAAATGTTCAAACGATTTGTAACTGATTTTAGTCTCATTGATGTTCAATTCCGAAGATATTTATGCTTTTAATTATGTTAGACATCGAAATCTTAGAATGGCCCTTTTCTAAGTCGTAAGTGATTATAAATGAAAACAATTTATATTAATTTGATCTTTTCAGAGCATGAAATGGAAGAACAAAAGGAGTTCACAAAAATTTCGCAGATAGAATCAGGAAAAAAGGATATCGAAATAGTTGTCATTAATTAATAATATTATATTATTATTACTTCAATTCAAAATTCTTATTTACTTCTATTTGGATGAATCATATCTATGAAATTTAGTCATAAGTTATTACTTATATCCTTATTTCTTCTTCCTCTTCTTTTTTTGGTAAGGAGAACTTATCATAAATCCACCGATATGTGGCACGGCTTCAATTATTGCTTATGAATACAAATTTAGCAATTCAAAGGAGACATGGACAAAAAAAATCGAAAAATTGATTAAACCAGTCAAATTGAATTGACCTGGGTCGATTTGATATAGGTAATTTGTTTGGTTTGTTTTTATTTAAAACAAAATTATGGTAGATTGGTTCAGTCATGATTTGAAGCCTCAAACTATTGATTAACCGAACCAACTCAATCCATTATGTTAATTTTTTTAAGAAAAATAAAATTCAAAAGATAAGCTTTGATCTTATAACTATATTTTGATTCCCTTCAATCTATGATTTTGTCGATAAGTACTAGCACTGAAATTTTTTTTTTACCATCTCATTATTTATACTTAGCCCTTTTTCCTACTACAGTTAGACTAGATAATGTATAAAACGCAACAAATTTCTTAAGTTTTCTATTAATCCATTTCTATTAACCTGATTTTATTTATTAGTCAACAATTATTGTAATATAAAGTTATTAGCTATTTTAGTTCTTGTAATCTAAGTGCGCTCAAAACTTTGACAATTTTTTTTTTTTTTTAAATTCAATTTGGACTAAAAGTCCAAATCTTTGGTTTGGTTTGATTCGGTTCAATTTGGTTTAAGAGTTATATTGTGTTTGTTTGTGTTGAAATTCACTCAAACCAGCTAATTTGATTTCGGGTTGGAGTCGAAATCGACCAAAATCAAACCGTGTCCAGGCCTAATTCAAAGTAAATAAACCTTGAACTTTTATGATGTAAGGAAATTATATCGTTTATTAGTCTCAATCACTTTATTATTATTATTATTATTATTAGAGTGGTTTTGATAATATAATTAATTATTGCATTATGAAATATTTTCCTTAATCGTTTATTGGTCTCGGGTTGGAGTCGAAATTGACCTAAACCACATCCGACGTCGTATAATTTTCGTAAATAAAAAGATAGTCAAGAGTTTTTTTTTTTGGTGTGTGTACGTGGCCATTCGATCCAGCGAGGTAGGTTAAAGATCTATTCACAAAAAACAAAAAAGGATTTAGTAAGTTTCCTTGTCGACCTCTCTTTGTTCAACCTTTGAGTTTCACAATTCTTGAGGTCAGCTTTCAGGCTTAATTATATAAAATTTGCAACTTCACTAGAATTTCCTTATTTAATTTATTAATTAATCTATCTATATCACCAGTCACGTTATTATTAATATATTCTGTTCATAACAGGCAAGCACCATTATACTAAAATATTTGTAACTATCAGGATCAAATTTTATCATACAAAACGTAGATACAAGAGTCCATAGTTGACCAAAAAATGGTAGCTTAGGTCTGATAATAAATATTTTGTTTCAATAATTAAAAACTTGCAAATGGGTGCACGTAAAAATTGTTAGAACACATTTTAATTTGCATGTATGGATATAAAATAAAAGTTGTTTGCATTTAATCAACGGCAAGATCCTCCAACAAGATTTCTTTAGATAAATCTTGAGGAAGAGACCATTAAAATGAAGTAAATCTTCCTAATTACCATTAATTCAGTCAGTAACTAATGCTTTAAGAGAGGAGCAAGTTTACGAGCTATTACCAGATATATAAATCTGCCATTACTAGTGTAGAAAGCATATTTTTTCTCGTCCATGTTTTTAACATTTTCAATAAAATCTTTCGAAAAAGTATTTTATCATAATTATTTTCACCAATTTTAATTATTTTTCTTAAATTAATCTCAACATGGCTTGGTTTTATTTCCCTACTTGTGGTCCAGTGCAAGTTCATTGACCGAAGCTACAGGCTAACTATTCCACCAAAACGAAAAGTATTTTCTATGCAACTTTGTGTATATATAAGTGGGCATGAAGGGTTTTAGATTCACCAACTCCTCATTTAGTAAACATACATTTTTTTTTCGATCATGGAACTCATCAAATCCTTTCTTCTCAAACCTTTCCACAATTTTATCCATAAAGATTTTCATGAAGTTGTAGCAAGAATGACCCTTATGGATAGATTTATCTTTCTCGTAAGTTTGCTCAACTTGTTTGTTTTTGCTTTCCTAAAGAGTACTAAAACACGATTTTTGGTGCTTTTAAATATACAAGTTTTAAAGACCTGTTTGTCAATGCTTGTCTTGAAATTAAAAACATGATTTAGGATTTTTGATCGTTGTTTTTACTCATATCTCTAGTATTACATGTAAATTTCTCGAAAGTAAGAGCAACAAAACTTAAGATTTTGGTGTTTGCTAATTGTCTGGTACTTAAAGCCAGGGGCAGAGTTAGGATCGTACGAGCCTTTGTAACTGTCCAAGCTCGCTCTGTCGAAATTTTTTTTCTCTATATTGGGCGGCTGTCTAGCTGCCACCCATGCTCGCCTGGATCCGTCTGTATTCACTTGAATTTCTGGATCCACCACTGGCCAAAAGAGTTTGATAATTTGGTCTTCCTTTTTCTCATCTTATGATTTCTAAATTTCAAAACTACGCAAAATTTGTTTGTCTATGCCTGCTTCACGATTAAAAGCAACCATACTTTAGGTGATATGTTTTATTAATGACGACAAAAAATATAGATGGCTCGGCGTGACCTCCAGCTAAAATTGCAAAATTATAATCTTTTCCATAGATATTCTGCATGTTCGTTAAGTTTTAGCATATTTAAGAATACTCGAGATTTCCCCATAGATTGCAAGATTATATTGTGATATTATAAAATTCTTGTTTTTGCATGCAGATTATTCACTTCATCGACAAGTTAGGTATATGGCACAGGTTACCTGTGTTCTTAGGTCTGATATACCTGTCCCTGCGTCGGCATCTCCACCAGGAGTACAACTTGTTCAACGTCGGAAAATCCCCAGTCGGAGTACGATATAATCCGGCTGATTTTCCTTTCAGAACAGCTGATGGAAAATTCAATGATCCCTTCAATGATGGTGCAGGCAGTGAGGATTCGTTCTTTGGCCGGAATGTCCTTCCTGTTGATCAAAAAAAGAAGGTGCTTTTTTATGTTAATTTTAGTTCATTTAACGAAGATAAATTTTAATACGTTAAGTTTCATTATTATACAAGGAATTAATAATGTAAATGTTTTCGAAATAATTGTTTTTAAACTCAAAATTATTTTGGAAAATTTTAAGAAATGGTATGAAATTTATACGAATTCTTGATTTATTATTTCATAAAATCCAAGAATTTGAAGAAACTCTAGGAACTTTTCAAATCGAAAAAAAAAATAAAAATAAATAAATATCTTATGGTTAATTAGAAAATTATAAAAACTGAAAAATTTCAGATTGATTTGAGAACTATGGATGAACCTGTTATTAATAAATGATTTTTCTGTGACTGACAGCATGAGTGAATGGCTTGACGAATTATAATATTTATTTGATTGTTGTACGTTACTTTTAATATTCAATTAATTTTAAGTAGCTTTCTTTAAATTAATATTAAACATTGGTTATTTTATTTCATTTTTAGTTGACCTATTTATCTATATTGAATCAAATAATCAATCTAATGTTTTCAAATTAACCAGTAATTCGTCTCTATGCATTTCCATAAGGATCGAGTAGTTTTAGACAAAACGGTGAATGTTTTCCATAATTTTTTTTTTTTTTTTTTTGCAGCTAATGAAACCAGACCCCGTAGTTGTGGCTACAAAGCTGCTGGCACGTAGAGAATACATTGACACAAGAAAGCAATTCAATGTAATTGCGGCTTCTTGGATACAATTTATGATTCATGACTGGATTGATCACTTAGAGAACACAGATCAACAGGTAACATGCAAAATCATTATTTAATTCAAACAAATCTTGATTCATTTCATTTGTTCTTGTTGATGTTTAATGATTAAATACTTACTTGTAGGTTGAACTGGTTGCACCCAAAGAAGTGGCCAGTCAATGTCCTCTCAAATCATTCAAGTTCTACAAGTCGAAGGAGGTCTCGACTGAGCACGGCTATTATGGTATCGGCACCGGCTATTTGAACCGCCGAACAGCTTGGTGGTAAGATTTTCTATTTTGGAAGGTCATAAATTCACAAGTCTAAGCATAAGGTTATGTCACGTCAAGAACGAATGGAGTTGGGACAACTTTTAGCTTACCCCAGACCTACCCAAGGCCCAATTAAATATTATAAAGTTTAAAAATGAAAATTTTAGGTAAATATAAATTTTTTTAATGGAATTTTTTTACGTATCAGTCTAGTATAATTTTTTTTTCTTTCTTTCGTTTTTTTTGAATCCCCTCTGCTCCGTCCCCAGGTTACTTGTAGAGATGGAGTCAGGAGGACAATAATTTATTTATTTTTTTGTACTAGATTGATTCATAAGTTTCCCTATAAAATTATAAATGGACACCTCCCTCGTTCTGTGGTCTTGAACGTTCATGACAACCTATATCACTACTTGAAAAATGTTATTTAACCTCTATTTGGTTTGGATAAAATTAAATTTTTAGTAGATTTTAATATAAGTTTATAAAATGTATGGATAAAAAGTTTGCAAAAATTATGAGTTCTAGAAAATATATAGTTAAAAATAAATTTATGGAACATAAGTTTCAAGAAATGAATGTCAAGGGGTTTTAGCTTCATGAGAATCATTCCCGTGTCTAGCAAAATTTTTACTACATA